GTGATCTAGTTACCTGCCTAGACTGAAGATCCAAGAACTCAATCTTAATAAATATATTAAGGAAACAGCTATTTTGCAACCAATTTAACAGGTCTTTTGGCTATCAAATCAGTCATTTCGCTGTTGTAAAGGCATGGCCTTTACCTAGCCCTCCCCTCCCTAAAACACCCAAAATAATGACTTATGCCACTGCAGAGACTCTTTTACATGCCTGGCTGATCCAGGAACCCACTCTCTAAATGTTCACTAGAAGCCCTTTATACTGGGTGAGAGGACAGAGTTATTATAGCAAATGGTTACTAGGTCTAGAGGTTATGTTTTAGGATCAGAATTTGGCAGTTGGTATATTATAATCCAGATAGTAATGAGCTCTTTAGCATTGTACTGATTTACATACATGTGTTTTGCGTAGGTGTCAATGTATCTGTATATTCATGACTTGTGTAATTCTGAAAGAGTCCCATGTCCCTTTGTCTTACTTAGAAGTCAATACCGTCATGTACAGGTACCGATTTGTAGGGCAGCCCTATGTACACCCCTTGTACAGCTGGCAGGAGGTCCCTATCTCCCCTCTTCCCAACTACCATCATTTGCACGATGAAGCTTGTAATTCCTTTGCTACAATTAGAACTCAAGCTTAGAGAGGTACTGTATAGAGACCGAAATTCACATCAATCTGCAAATGCCTAACATGAGATCATTTTCTTAGCTTTAAGGCCCTGGGTGCTTGAGAGTGGCAGTGGGACAGGCGAAAGCAGCAGAAATGGTGCCAAAATGGGGAGGGGGAATGTTTCATTCTAAGTTTTGTCAAAAACTGATCCTGGTATTCATTTTCATCAGCAAGAAAGAAAGGAATGTTTTCCAAAAATGATGCTTTCAAAGATTTTTGTCTCCTACTTTGTAAAAAAAAAAAAAAATGATATTACAGGCATTATCAGTCTGTTTCTATAGCACTTTTGAGGAGCTAAAACACTTCCAGATTCCTACTCCAAGTTCATGTTGCTCCATTTTACACTATGTGAGATATCATACAGCTGAGGTTGCACATTGCCAACTGAGGACAGGACCCAGGGCATTAACTCCAAGACCAAAGTGATCCTAGAGCTACTGCAGTCTTGAGTTAGAGATGAGCCTCACTTAAGTAGAACTACTCTAGAAAAACACAGATTAAACACTTGATAAATTAGAGAATACTTAGTCACTTTATTATCTCCCTGACTCTCCCTCCACTAAAATAAGAATTTTTGTTTAAATTATGAGTTCTAATGCATTCAGACTCTGGTTGAATTTCTCAAATAGCAGCAACAGAAACAAGTCTAAGACTAGATATAATATGCTTACAATTCAAAACACATTTTCTAACTCTGGCAGCCCCTGCTAGAGAATTAGAAAAATTTAGAACCGCGAGGAACCTTGGAGCATTGGGCCGGAGGGGCTCCTGAGCTCAGATGTACTTGCAGCCCAAGATCACTGGTTAATATGTGCGAGGTGCTTCAGGTGAGATTTACTCCTCAGGCCTCTTCTATCAGACCTGCTGCCACTGATGGAATCAGGAAAATGTGTTTTTACCAAATGCCCACATCATGTTACCCTTAATTTCTTTATGCCATAAGGCTAAAATTCTTAATGTCATCATGATGTAGTTCTACATCTTCAACCCAGCCATATAGATGAGATGCCCAGAGCTGACATTCTCTTTCATTTTGTCTCAGACTCTATCCTCTTCCCATATTTACTGGTTCCCAGGAACCCACAGCAAGTGGAGAGGTCAGGATAGCCAGCATTCTTGTTATTCTCCTGGTATAAGTGTTTACCCTAGATAAGGAGCTGTTTGAAAGGCTGTTCTAGAAGTCCATTTTGGCCCATCTCCCTCGGCGTGATCCAAATCTACTCCTGCTGGTTAAAGAAGGAAAAAAAAAAACTATACAGAAACGTCTGTACCTCCAAGGTTTGGAATTTCTCCTATTGTGGGTATAGTGGGAAGTTTTCTTTCACAAGACAGTCCCACCCTCCCTCCCAAAGGAAGGGCATTGCTTCTCCCACATGGTCGTGAGCAGGCCCAGTCTTCTTTTCCTGCCTCCTCCCATGATCAGACATTGCATTAGACAGTGCCCACCAAAACTGCAGGATGTGGCTCCTTATTGGTACCTTCGTAAAAGTGCCAGGTTTAAATCACTGTAAGCTGGAAGGCAAGGCACATTTCATCTAATGCTCCTTGTCTATTCCAGTTATTTGAATCTATTTCATTGAAGAATTTTAAAATTTGGCCCCAGACTCCAAGCAAGATTAAATGTACTCCAGGAATACTAGCTGAGGGCCCCACGAGTCCTTACTGCACAGGTAGAATCGGTGAGAGCGGAGCCCTGACTGTCCCGCAGGTTACCAGGCCCCTCCTGGCCAGCAGCAAAATGAGGCCAGGCAGGTGAGCTTGCCTGGTCATTAAGAGGATCAGCCTCTGAGAAGCTGAGGGAGCGGCACTGACTGTTGCGCCTGTTTAGGAAACCTGCTGTGTAGACTGGGGCCAGGCCAGGGTTGCCCACCAGCTCCAGGTCAGGACCGGAAGTGGACGCGCTCGCTCCCCCTTTAGGGACAGCTTCCAGCTGTCGGAGCGGCGCTTCAGATTCACTGTACCTTACCCGTTAGCATCTGAGAAGCAGCCTGCAGTTTTTCCACCCACGGCCTATGAAAACAAACTGGAAGTACAAACATTATGCCCACCCACCCCCTCCAGACTCATCTTGGGATCACTTTTTCCTTCATTCACTCCTCCAGTCACATGATGCTCTTCGTTTCTCGAATAAACCACTTTTTTGTTTCACCTCGGGAGCACATAGGCTCTTCTTTCTGCCTGGAATTTTCTCCCTTGCCACTCTTTGCCTAGCGAATTCCTGCTTAGTAAAAAAAAAAAAAAAAAAAATCGCTTCTTTAGAGAAGCTATCCCTGCCCACCCTCCGGACCTATGTTGTTCAATATGGCAGCCATTGGCCGCATGTGGCTATTTATATTTAATTAAAATTAAATAAATGAAAAATTCAGTTCCTCAGTTGCACTGGCCACATTTCAAGTGTCCAGTAAGCTACATGTGACTAGGGGTTACTGCATTCAGCAGCACAGATACAGACATTTCCATCACACAGAAAGCTAAATGCATAGTGCTACCCCAAACTAGATCAGGCCTCATGGTTTTACCTCTCAAAGCATCTGTACCTTCTTTGTTAGCACGTCTCAGTAAGTTACTTTTGTGGATTTTTAAAAAAAATTTGTGCCTTCCCAGGTAAATTATCGACTTCATTAGTACAGAGGGGAAGCCTGTGTAATTCATCACAGTAGCTCCAGCACTCTGCATGACAACTGGGCACTCAAAGAAGCATCTAGTAAATGATTACTGAATGAATGAATTAGAAAAGGACAGCGGTCTCTTACATAACAGTAGGCCATTTGATAACTTCCTCCTAAAGCTGTGAGCTGAGAAAACATTTGTATTCCCAATGCTCTGGTTTCTCAATTATATAAGAGAGCTTTAGAAAAAGAGCTTCCCTTTTTACCTTTGCTACCTGCTAACCCAGAGTGAATTTTGTTCTTAACGGCAAGAGCACCCTTTTACCTCAGCTTTCCCAGGAAAATTCTTCTCACCCTTGATCTGCTTGTACTGCTTGGTTCTCATCCTTCTACCTTTACGTGAAGAGTTGTGTTTTATCTATGCCATTTACTGCCATGCTCTCAAAATCTTTTCAGAAGTAGGCAAATAAAATGAGTAATATTTGTGATCACAGGCCACTTTCCGCTGTCAGCTCATGGACAGAGTCATGGCAATAGCCCACTTGGCTTCTTCATGCGGAACTGGAGTGACTGTGCTCTGCGGAAGGAATTTAAGTACCCGTTATAACTGCAGCTCAGATTTCCGTCTTCTTCAGGATAATCAACAGCACATCAAGGCGATGTGTCCTAGGCAGCCTCTCAGCTTCTGGGAAGTCAGGGAAGGCTTGATAATCCCAGCTCCCCAGGCCCGACCCCTCCTGAGATACGGCGATGAGTGAAGGTCTCCTATGTCCAGTGGGTAATGCTCAACTTTGCCTCTCCAACTCCAGGGAAGCCTCGATCAGCTGGATGAGGTGGCAGCATTGATTGCTGCCACGGTCCATGACGTGGACCACCCGGGAAGGACCAACTCTTTCCTGTGCAATGCGGGCAGTGAACTTGCTGTGCTTTATAATGACACCGCTGTCTTGGAGAGTCACCACACAGCCCTGGCCTTCCAGCTGACGGTCAAGGACAGCAAGTGCAACATTTTCAAGAATATTGACAGGTTGGTTGTGCTTGGGCTCCTATGCTCAGGTTTGTGAAGTATAAGTAGGATACTCAGTTTTCCCTAACTTCCAAAGTATTTAGCTTTCTCTTAGGAGAAAGAAGGAAAAATAAGAATACTGTACCATCGTATCAGACAGTAAAATAATAACTTCCCCCTTATCAACTTAATTGTACTTTTCAGACTGCTTTCATCTTTTTAAATCTCATTTGGTCTTCAACAAGTTCATGAAAATGTTTTATACACAGTGACTCTATAAATATTGATTGTATTGCTAATAAGTATAGCAAATATCTTTACCCTCCTAGGAGGACATCCTGTCTTTTGTGTAACTCAAGAAAAATGCATCCTTCCCCGTCCATCCCCAGTTCGATTTTTGGCTACTTAAAATCCTAACTCATGAGGAAACGACAGTGTTCTACAGGTGCCAGCCGAGCTGCTGGAGCCCAAAGAGTTGGGCAGGTTTCCCCATAGATGTTGTACTTTCTTCAGGTGAGAGCTGGCCAAATGGGAACAGATAACAATTCCCCTTGACTGCCACAACTGCGGTGCAGCTATGGTTATTTCCCATAGAGCACCAGCCAGCCTGGAGGGCAGGCTCCTGGGAGAGGGCAGTGTTTAGAGAGTACAGAGCCCACTCAGGCCTCAAGGCCTGCCTGTCAACATGAACCTATCGATCAGTTTGGTCTCCAGAAATCTGAGAAATATGGAGACCAGTTATTCCAGCTTTAACTTAAGTTTCATCAGTATCAAGGACTGTATTTAGAACTTTCACAAAAAAGAATTATTTCCAGTAGCCAGTTTTATTCAGCTTCCCATTCTGGCTCTTGAAGTTAGAAATACGAGACAGTAATTTGGGGCAGGGCTGTTGCTCCATCTATTACAACATCTGTCTAATTATAACTTAGAGAATTAACAGGAAAACATTCTTCCAATGTTTAATGCTATTACTGCCATTAAAAGAAATGATAATTCTCTGCCTTGTAGGACATTTGGTCCTGTCCAAAATGTCCATGGTGACATTTGGTCCAAACCAAAAGGTCCTGTCCAAAATGTGTATAGCTAATATCGATCCTCTTCTGCAGTATTCTAACTCCGACCCATCTACCTAACCCCATGTGCCATGACCAGCTAGGCTACTGATGTAAGAAGGGTTGTTATTGGCAATACAGGCACAACACAGTTGTTGGACCAATAAAACATGATCGTCTTTTCTGTGTGTTAATCCTGTAAACCAAAAGTTTAAATAAAAGTTATGACCTATTAGAACGCAGGGACGTTTTCTAAGCATGGATATTTTGGACAGGCCCAAATGTCCACTAAGCATTCTCTATAATAAGAAACTATGTCTGCACTGAATGCAGTGGGACAGCTCATCAGATTTCTGCATTAGCCTTGTAAGGAAGCAACTTGTCATTTCCTTCCACCTCACTGTTTTGATGTTGCCAAGGGAAGATAAAAAGGAATCACCTTGTAAAGTAAGTGCCCACTGTGTGACAGGTACTTTTTTAATATACTCATAAATCACATGAAGGTCAGCTGTCACTGGGGAAAATGGAATAGTGTCAACAAGTCCTGGCTTGGTGGGACGGTAAGCAGGAAAATTTTGTGATCTATACTCATTTCTTAACTCTGTGACCCCAGCTTCCTCCTAGATTGTGGGAAGTGTGGTGAAATGGTAGCAGAACAGTTCTAATTCGGGACATGACATAAACTCAGCTCTTTGTCTTCTGATTATTTTAGGAACCATTATCGAACACTGCGCCAGGCTATTATTGACATGGTTTTAGCAACGGAGATGACAAAACACTTTGAACATGTGAACAAATTTGTGAACAGCATCAACAAGCCAATGGCAGCTGAGGTAAGCATTTCCCGTGCAATAAGATGTATCAGAGTATCTTTCCATTATAGCCTACTCTGACCTCAAAGCATTTTCTCTCCCTCTTGAATGCAAGGTGCTTATTTGCTTGAAGTTGGTAAAGAAGGGCTGACAGTACTGGCCACTTGTTTTCCCTGGGAATGAGAATAGATTGACAGTGTCCACAGCAACTCTGAGCTCCTTGAAGGAAAAGCCCTGAGATAAAGCCAGTGGTGACAAAAGGAGGTAGGCCCAAAGAATATGATGGAAGAAGCCTGCAGACAGCAGACTAGCACAAATGGTGGTATTTTAGGAATCCAAAGCCCTTTCTAATTCTCTGTTTTTTTGAGCTGTTGGGAGACCTCAAAATTGGATGTTTTAAAGAACTACATTCTTGCTGGTTTGCATATCAGTACCTAAAGACATATAGTCAAACTGGGAATGACTAGTTGCAAACAAAAGCGAAATTGTTTCTCTTTAAACTTTACTGATGCACCTTGGACCTGCGTTAAAGTCCCTACAAACTTGAGTTTTGGGAACATGGACAGAAGGTTCACATTTCTTGTTTAAAATGAGATCAACTGCCCTCTGAAACCATGACGCTGTCCACAGCCCTATAAAGTTAGAAAAGCTTTCTGCTCATTCCTGTTGAGCAGGACCTCGAGGTTGCATACGTGGGTGGATGATGAATGGTTGTCTTAAAAGTAACCTGACAATCAGTAAGGAGACCGTCAGTGTAGGACCCATCACATGACCAGCCTGGATGGAGGAACAGTGTCCACCTCACCTGTGTTCTCCATCCCCTAGGGATTCCACAGCACAATGCCAGGGCCCTCCTTCCAGAGAAGACTTATGGGAGCAGGATCTGAGCATTTAGGAGGGGAAAACTATATAGAATCATAGAATTTAGAATTGGGAAGGTCATCTATCCAAGTAAGCCCCCAACTCCGTGTTGACATTGATTATTTACCACAGTAACTAGAGTAAGCAGTATATTCCCAGTGGTAAATAAAACAACCTTCAGAACATAATTCTGCCCATTGATGGTTTAATAAGTAGGTCCAATCTCAAAACAAACCAAACAAAAACGCTTAAATGTCATGCAGTCTTTCGGCTTGGCAGAGCTCTGGAGAGCTAATTAACTGTTTTCACACAATCAATTTGGTGATGTCTTTGAAAGCAGAGGATAGCAATCTTCTAGGGTTTGCATAACTGGCCTGTTGTTGCACTTATGTAAGCCTACTCACAGACCTGGCCACTTGGCTCAGAACCACTGACATCACTAGCTGTGTACTGGTGTACGACCAGTCTTTTTAAACATGGCTGAACATACCTATTCCTGCCTTGGCGCACTTTCTGTTCCTAATACCCAAAAGACTTACACTCCTAAGAGCGGCCAGGAAGCATTGATGGACGCATACCTTAAGAGAAAGTAACCAAAACAGGAGGCTGTGGGTGAATAGGGGTGAGACAGGAGGTCCTAGCAGAGAGGGAGCTGGTAGGTATAAATAGAAATTAAATAATTGAAGGGTTACATGTATGTGTGATTCCCCTATTTTTAATATATTTTAAAAAACTGAATGTTCTGCTTTTATACATTTCCTGATAAAACTGGGGTGGGGGGAAGCTCTCTGTCTTTAAGATTACACACTAAACACAAAACAACAAAAAACTGCTTGTAGCAGTTACCTCTGGGAAGAGGATGGAACTGAGAGGACTGGATGGGTGGTGATGGGAACTCTGACCTCTTAAACTGTTTTTTATTGCTTAAGGTTGTTTGTTTTAACAAGAATATATCAGGAATTAATGATAGGAAAACCTCCTTCACTGAGTTCACCATGCCTCAGTCAGGGTGCCTGGGTGATCACCATCTAATGCCTGGTCATTTAGCCCTGTGGGTTTCACCATCATCTTGAACCAACCGTCATTCTGATAATGTTTTCTAGATTGAGGGCAGTGACTGTGAATGCAACCCTGTTGGGAAGAACTTTCCCGAAAACCAAACTCTGATCAAGCGCATGATGATTAAGTGTGCTGACGTGGCCAACCCGTGCCGCCCCCTGGACCTGTGCATCGAATGGGCTGGGAGGATCTCTGAGGAGTACTTTGCACAGGTGCGTGGCCTCTCTGGGGAAGCTCCACTCTCTTCTGGGAATGGCCCCAGGTCATACAACTCCGGATTCTCCAGCCAAGTGACTTTATCAATGTAAAGTGAGTAAATGACTCCTCCTTGGAAGAAAATGGCTCACCCCAACCTGGAGTAGATTTATGGTTCCTTCAAGAGACTAACTGATGTGGCTGGTCACTAACCAAAGTCTCTCTAGGGAAAAGGGATAAACTAGGCCTGTGGAAGTATCTTTGCATCTTCACATTATTAGATCCTGAACTTCCACAAAAATTTGGGAAATCAAGCATTCACTAGGTTACTATTTCCATGGTGCATTATGGGGGAACACAGACATGAGTAAGAAACATCCTTGCCCATGGGTAGCTCATAATATAGTAGAGATGTAGAAATAGGCCTACATTTTGGTAAAAAATGAAAATATCTCTAAAGGAGGTATATGTTAAGTGTGCTATCAGAGTTCAGAAAGGTTTTTTTTCCTAGATAAAAGAGGGGCTTTGTGGAAATGATGTTGGAGGAGCGTTTTTTGTTTTTTGTTTTTTTTTTGAAGGATTTAAAAATGAGAAAAAATTTGAGAAAAAATTAGAATTTTTATATAAGGAGAACAGCAACATCTAGTTCACTTTGGCAGTGTGAAGAGGAGTAAAAGGAGAAAAATCCAGAAAGCAGTAGACCAAAAGATGCCATCTGAACTATAGACCTATTTCCAGAGAAGGGGCTCTAAGGACTGATATGTGTATGTTCGACAAAGACAACCACGAGTAATAGCTACAAGTAATGCATTTGAGGGGGGTGGTCTATGTGGCTGGAATGTACCGCTGAGGCAAGATAGTTGATGATATCTTAAAGGGCCGACAGGGGGAGTGGCCAGCCCAGGACCCAGTAAGTTAAATGAATTGAAGAAAAGTAGGACAAGCAGTTCTGGGCTTGTCAGAAAGAAGAGGAAATAAAAACCCAAAGTACTCCTTGAACAACAGTGGATATTTTAAGGCCGCCTGAGCCAAAAGCCAGTAGGAGGCTATTAGTGGGCTTCCCAGGACCTGGAGAGGCCTTGGAATCCCATTTGTAGTGATTCTCAAAGTATGTGAATGGGAAATGGAAAAGAACCACTTTTACGTTCGTTAAGCTCCCAATTTAGGTGTCCTTTTCTCAAAAAGGAAAATACTAGTGTTCATAAGCCCATGTGACCTAAAAATCAAGTTACAAAATGAGGCCTCTGGCTCAACACACCACTAGGAAATGCGGATCTCAATATTCAGCTCAGTAAATCACAGCCCTAATTGCACATATAAACGTACACTCCAATGTGTAAGGTACTCAGATTTATGTATACCTTGAATTGCATGAGCAATACCCAAATCTGAACAATCATAGTTTGTCAGTCATTATTTTGAGTATAAACAGTGTTCCATGGAAACTAGTGGGCTAGTTCAACTTGACTGCATACGTGCTCTTCCTTAAGACAACCAACACTGTTTGGTATGAGTTTTATGTATACTTCCTATTTTGTCACACAGGATATTAAAAAGACATATACTCAAAGGTTCAAATTTAATAAGATTAATAATTCCTACTGCTTCAATGAGGACATTCTTAAATGAAACAGGCTTTCTTTTTAAACTGCAAGCATGTGACAGTGACTACTACAATGATGACTAGTACAGTTTGGTGCGAGTTTTCTGATTCATGCTAAGGCATCAGCAGTTTTACTGACCACTGCTTCTTTACCCTCAGTGTGTCAGTATTATCCATGTTAGTATTATTAGTATTACTTTGAAGATAGTCTTGACCTTGCAATAACGAAAATAGATCTCAGGAAAAGGGGCGTGAACCCTGATATGATCAGTGCTTCAGGAGGGGCTGCAGTAGAGCAAAGAGACTTGAGAGAAGACCTGAATTTAGTTACTACATCTCAACAGGTGGTTGACATAAGTTCTGTTTCTTCATATATTCAATTGGATCGTGGCCCATTTTCCTAGGGTTGTTCTGAGAAACTAGATGCTACTATAGCAGCTACTTTTGTGCTCTATAACCCTGCATGTGTTATGTCTTACAGACTGATGAAGAGAAGAGACAGGGGCTACCAGTGGTGATGCCAGTGTTTGACCGGAATACCTGTAGCATCCCCAAGTCCCAAATCTCCTTCATTGACTACTTCATAACAGACATGTTTGATGCCTGGGATGGTAAGATAGTTTGTTTCGGAGCCCACACAATATTTTGTTACCTTTATGATGATTACCTTTAATGACATGGGTTGAGCCTAAAGCTGTAAATGAAATGTTTAATTCAGCTGTTTGTGGCCAGGTATGGTGAGGTGCAAGAATACTTTCTGTATCCTCAGCAACTGGCCTAAATCTTGTGTATGGAAGACTCAATGTATGTTTGATAAATATACCCAAGTCTTTATTTCTTCAAAGGATATGTTTCCAAAGCTTACAACAGTCGTCCACTCACACTGATAAATGGCTTTTCAATTTTTAATGAAAAGGACCTGTTCATATTTCAGAAACTAGTGTCTACTGACTTACGCTTCCCACGCTTTGTGTTCACTTGTAGCCTAAGGCCTAAGCTAGGGTCCCTCTCCTCCAATTCTGATCCCAACTTTGTCCAACAGAGCCCCAGCCTTTTGAAAATGCTCTTTGCATCTAACTTAACAGGCTTCTTTTGATTCTTTTATGTCCTTGCAGCCTTTGCACATCTGCCAGCCCTGATGCAACATTTGGCCGATAACTACAAACACTGGAAGACATTAGATGACCTGAAGTGCAAAAGTCTGAGGCTTCCATCTGACAACTGAAGCCAAGACAGAGAAGGGAACCTCCTGCCTACAAAGGGCATGGTGACTCACATTAGTGTAAAGAAGAGGCTTTCCTTTATAATGAAAATGACAGGTATAGGTTAAGTAGGTAATGTTTACTATTTGACCTTGAATCATTTAAGTCCCCAAATTTCATTTTTAGTAAGTCATGTTCCATGAAGAAAAATATATGTTCTTTTGTACAATCACTTAGTGACAAATACATGGCAAAATCCTTTGCCCTGCTGTCATCCTCTATGACCTCATCAACCACGGAGCTGAATGACTATAACAGGACACAAGCATCAAAGACGTGGTGCTTCTTAGCCCATCTCCCTGGATGATGACCAAGTAGTTTAGCTAGTATTCAGCTCAACTCACCATAAAAGTTACCATCTCTGTTTAGCTTAACTACTCTCCTCAAGAACATCAGTCTGAAGGATTCATAAGAAAAAAAAAAAAAAACAAAACTATATAAAATGAGCAAAACAACTAGGACCAAATTATTGATAAACTGGTTAGCTTCACAGCCTCCATGGCTAGGTGGTTCTTCTGATCAATGGTGTGACACTCAAGTTAGAACATAGCCTTGGCCTGGTGAGTGCCTTCTCTAGACTGGTAGCAGCAGCCTGTGTAGCCCTCTTTCCTATAAAAGGCATTCATCTTAACAGAAAGCCATCCATGATGGGAAGGGAGTGACATTTTATTTTGGGGGACTCCATGAGCTTCCCTTATTTCTAGTTAACAGAGGCAGTCACAGGCACTATATAGTATTATATACAAAAGCCATTAAATCTGAATGCCCTTAGACAAGCTTTTTTTAAAAAAAAATTTATATACATTTGCTGTTTAAAATTTTTATTAAATCTAAATTTTCTGGGTATAAGTCAGTGAAGTATGTTGTACCATGTACCATCTATACATATATATTTGGGGAGGGTATAGGGGAAGTTTCAAGGTTCAGATGTTTTTAACCTATCTATATTTGAGATCATGCTGTTTTCCTTTAATGATGTACAAAAAGACTGCAAGGTGTGTAAATATATCAGATAATAGACATGGGGAAGTAGTAAATACTATTAATTGTATGCTAAAAGCTTCTAAAGCACAAATGCATATTTTTATACGGGCTGTTTTCACAACTTTGTGATCTACATGAAGTCATATTTTCCTTTCTCTTTTACCAGCCAACCCTTCTCTATGTATTATAAATATTAGAAACTCAGTAAACGAAGTATCTTCATTTTTCTTTGAAATTCTCTGTACTCCATGCTGCATTTTAAAGAAGTATAAACAGGCTCAATTAACTGAATCAGTAGTTACTTTTTTCAAATGAAAATTGGAATGCAGAACACTTGGAACTAGTACATGGGAAAATATATATATCACTACATAACGTGCCAATGTTCTTTTTCTATGTTTTGTACCAAAAAAAAATAATAATAATTCCATGCAAAGAAATGTATCTAAATTATTTTTGTTAGATGATAAGAGAACTAGCTTGGTCAGGACAGCGGCTAGCTTTGTATTGTGATGCTGCATTATGTAAATGTGATGAAAATGTTTTTGTGAAGTACTTGTAACTAAATTCCTACAACCATTTTTCATTCCCAACAGCTGGTTTTATTTTATCTCCTCTTTCGCCTAAATTTTTCATAATTTCAAAATTTCAGTTTAGTATCCTTTATTTCATGAGTCATACACTTTGTTTTCAGAACACATTGTATTCAGGATGTCAGAATCCCATTTTAAGGAGCTAAATAATTTGCGTAGACTTCAGAAGCTTGCTTGAGGTGAGGATACTCTTTTCCTAACAATCTCTCTTTCAGTTCCATTTGGTAAGTAACATTTATCAGATGAATGGTATAGTTTAGTGGAATGCTAAATTTCATAATGACTTAAATGCTTTAAGACTGCCAGGTACTAAAGCTTTAGCATAGTGCTGCTCTTTATCAGTGTAATCTTCTACGGTGTAATCTTTTACTGAGTTGCTAACTAAATAGTGCATTCCACCAAGTAGTCAATTAGAAATTAGTCTTTCAGGTGATAATTGTAATTGCCTCTAATACTGAGTTATTTTCTAAAACACTGTTGAGGTGAGCTATATTAATTTAGGAAAATGCAACACTAATACAGAGAGAAGTCACATTACTACTACTATTTAACCAAAAGAACTAGAGAACATTACCTGGACCAGTTTGATCCTATAATTTAAGTGGTTCTTTACTTCCAGTTTCAGATTTTTACATTGGCTTGCCTTCAGAATCAGGACTGGTTAGTGTTGTGGGCAAAGACCAAGCCTCATCAGTTCAATGAGAACCACTCCACTTAGAAACATAAATGGAAGAGATGATCCAGGGCCCCCAGAGTTTAGATTCTTGTGTTGTATGAATACAGAATACAGCCAGAGAATGAGGTAAAAAGGCATACTACTACACAGTGTTGCAAATACAATAAAGTTGAAAACTAAGCTAGAAAAAATACACATAATATATGTTGACCTCCATTATAACTATAGTCTTCTAAATTAAGGCATTCATGAAAGCAAAAACCAAGTCCAGTCAATGGGTTGGAGGCTTCTCTCCAGTTTCTCTGGTGGAAATGAGAGTATAACAACAGGGATTTATAGTGGTACTGACAGTACAATTTGCTCCCAAAACTCACCTGTGGTTTATATCACTCCTTGTGACTAGATTACTATCACAAAACACTAACCCAGAACAGATTAGAAAAAGTTTAAAATATCTACGAATTACTCATATAATTCATTGACTAAGTCATGAACTAACGCAGAATTTCCAAAAAAAAATGCTAGCTAGTAATGAACAAACATCCATCTACAGAGGAAGATTAAAAGCCTGAGAATGACTGAGATAAACTGATATGCACTCGGACCAGAATGCACGTCTGCCTGGCGTAGGGATACTACCTATGCTCCAAGTTCAGAATGAAAGATCAGAAAGCTGGCTGTGTGCGACTCCACAATAACAATTTGTTTGCTAAAGGGAGTGCTAATTTTCCTATTCGCATTCTTCTGTAATGGAGGTAACAAATTTTAATATATTTCTCCATGAAGCTATTTTCATTGTAAATTAAAACAATGACTGAACATCATTTGGTTTTCCTCAAGTAATAGTCACATAAACCTTTATCTCTTATTCCACAGTCCCCTTCGATTTCTGTTTTTAAAGCCACCCAATGATGAGAATGGAATAAACAGAGCTATCAAATTGCAAGGCCTTACCTGTCTGGGCCTCAGTTTCCTCATTTATAACATTATACTGGTCAGGCATAGATGACCTTACGTCTTCCAGTCTTTGTAGGCAGTTATGGAAACAACCGTCAAAGGTAAAACTCGCAAAAACAATTTATAAAGATTTCATCAAGGGTGTGTGTAATGAACAAATCTGCAGGAAGTGTTCTTTGAGAAGGATCAGTCTTCTTACACATCTATCACTTTGCACTTTAACAGGATTCTTTCATCAGCAGTTTAAGAATAACTCCACAACTAAACTCGCCCATTTTTTAATGTGTGGAACACTTTTTTTTTATTCTTTAGTACCAAAAGAGAGAAAGAGTGCTGTGATATAAGGCCAGTGGGGTGAGGAAGATGACTAAATCTCACTGGTCACTGCAAGTGAAGCCTCAAGCATTTCACATTTGAGTCAAGGATAAGATAAATCAGGCATTTTTGGCTACAGTCTGTCTTTGGAAACACTCCTTATTTACTAATCTAGCACTCATCCTGCATACATGAGCGGCAGCTGCCAGTATAGTACCAATCTAGCCCAGAGCTGTTCAGGCCAGTTCACACCGGAGGGAAAATACACTATAAGATTCCTATTGATTTGAGTTAATAGGACTTTTTAGTAGGTAGAACTAAAAGTAAAAAATGATTTAAACAAATTAGTTGGCACACACACAAAAAAAGTTGTAGTTAAATAGTTACTAAACACCAAGGGAATGTGTAAGATAAAGGATATCACAAGGTTTCTTAATCAAATGGGCTCTAAAAAAAAAACAAAAAATAAGCTTCTAATTGATGCCACAACTTTACTGTTCTATTTCTCCCTACAAGGTCTAAATTCAAATTAAGAAGCTCAAAGCATGCACCACTTCAACAGAAGCACAAAGTGCAACTATTACACAATATTCATTTTCTACTGGGAAGGAACTTTTCTGGAGATCACAAGGTTTAAATTCAGATATGCTACATTCTACCTGTTCTTCAGTGGTTTTCAATTTTTCTCCCAAATATCTTCTGTAGTTATCAGGCATATTTATTTTTTTAACAGCAGGTTCCTTAAATTTTTAAAAGAATGAAGAGGTATAGTTAAAATATTCATTTTGGAAAATAGTATTTCAAAATCCAAAAAGGCTAGAGGCAACAAAATTATACTAAATAAAGAGACTGAGTACTAGTCTCCTTATTAAACATAAGCTCACAATTTCTGGTATAGAACTTTAAGGAAAAAAATTTAATTGTCTATAAGGCCACTAAAGTATAATTCTGTATCAACAGATACTGTGATCTGGAAATTTCACTTTCTGAAAATTCACTGCTGAAATCCTTGCAAGTATAGTCTTTGGTGAATGTACTAATACCTAAGAAGCAACTTGTCGCTGGTTTGCATTCCACAAAAAAGAATTCAGTTTTATGTAGTGATAAGAAAAAAGACACATTTAGATATGTTAATGGTTTTCAGAGTGTTACCCTATATTTGATGTTCAAGGTTTTCATGCATTCCAAAATCCTTACACTAGACAGCAAGATATAAGTCACCATTCTCCTCTAATTTTTGAAATAATTTTAAACTGCGTAATCCAGATTCTCGTTCTCCGTTTTTCCACAAAATAATGAGATGATCAGCAGAGCATGTCACTAGTCCATGATCTTCAAAGTACAGAAACATCTGTAAAGAAATTTAAAACTCCTGATAATAGTAACTTCAGGGGTAAGAAAAGAGGTCGATACTAGGTTAACACATGTGATTGTAAGATAAGAGCCTTGTAGACTTCTTTGGATCTGAATGTAAAACTGTATTTTCCATGAGAAATTTTATTTTTAAGTGTTGCTAATAGTCACATACAAATATCTTCTGAATTGTACCATATTATTCAAGTACTGGTTTTAAGATTTTGTCAGAAGTCCTGCCTTACTTAATCATTTATACTTGCCTCATTATTTATACACAAATGGCTACCAAAAAGGTCTGAATTCAAAGTTCTCCAAGGTCGGTAAACACTGGCTTCAGCTCTCTCATTAAAAGGAGTTATAGTAAATCCATTTATAAGCATTTACTGGGTATCATCTATATGCTTATGGTCCCTACCCTCAAGAAGGTTCTAATTTAGTTGTAAAATCATAGTTGAAACCATTAGGGCACCAATTAAAGACTATCTAATCAAGCACTATATATTAATGTAGTTCAGACTATCATTTGCCACAGAAATTCATAAAAAGGGGACACAGATCAGTAATAACTGAGGTTGTCAGAGGAAGCTTCTATGTAAACCTCTCCAAATAGAGAGAAGTTCATGCTCAGTTAAGGAATAGGCTAGAAATTAAGAATAGGAAAATAGTGTTGATGAGAAGCCAGCATGAACATTATGGAGTGGAGAGCTGGCATGAGGAGATAAATGAAGCCAAGAAAAGGATG